GATCTGTTTCCTCTTTCATAACTGTGACTAATGTGGAAATGTTTTACATAATTGTACATATATAACCCATATCAAATTGCCTACAATTTTAGGAACAGGGGAGAGAGAAAAATGTGGAACTCAAAATGTTGTAAAAATGAATGCTAAAAATTGTCCTGACACATAATTGGGAAAAAACAAAATGCTATTAAAAATATATTTTTTTAAATATAAGTTTCCTGAGGTCAAGGGTTATCTTCCTTGTTTGTACTTGTATCCCTATTCCTTAGCACAGTGGCTGGAACTTAGTGAGTGCTTAATAAACATTTGTTCATTCATTTAAAAAAAGGGGGGTGAGGGGAGTTAAACATTCTTCCTTGACTAATTTCCCATAAATGATTTTAATCTATAAGATCACACTCATATTCCCTTTGAACACTTGGACATCTGCTTGCCCAAAGTAAAGGGTATATGTGAAAACATGCCCCACTTTACTCTCGCCAAATCACAAATTTTAACAAGGAACAGTCAACGTCATCTCAACTATCCCCCTTATTTATATGCCAGTCATCATTTCTACCTAGTTACTAAGAATAAGATCTAGAAAAGGAATTTTATTAGTTTCTGAAAGATTAATTTATCATTAAAGCAATTACTAGCAACTCTATCTTGAGAAGGAGCACCATATCCGATTTAAAAATAATTTAGGCCTTACAACACTGCTACATCATATATCTGTGCCAGAGCTTCCCTAATGCTTCCTATATCTCCTTTTTCTATATAAGAAGTTGGCAGTATGCTGCAATGATGATGATTTAAATTTGATTTCTGTTTCTGCTCATCTTAGCCCAGCCCTATCTACCATGATTCTTCTTTCTGGATCCTGAATTTTCTCAAGAATACTATATATTACTAATACATACACATCACTATAATCTATTCCGTTCTTTCTGAAAAAAGGGTACCTCTTCAGAAGTCCTGAGTCCAGTTCTGGATCTTATTTTATCAGAAATGCCTATGAGGGGCAATTTAGCTCTGTAAATTAGGAATTGTTGGTCTGCCCTGCTTGTTTTCTATATACCTACATTTTGTTCCTTTAATAGAAAATATCTGAGGCCAGGTATTTGAAATACCTATCCCTTCTAATGTTTTTGTCTCCTATAGATTTCTGAGGTGTCTACTGTTATTTTTCCTATAAGACGGCCGTTCATCATGCTATAGTTAATCTTGTCCCTTTTAACTCCCTTTTAGTTTCAAGCTTTTTGACTGACTTATAAGGGAAGAGGTAAAGAGATGCTATGTACTCCTTCCCTACACCAGAAGCCCACTATTATTCTATACACCATGCTTGAATGACAAATGTCACCCTTCCCAACACCTGAGAAAAGTTTGAGAACATAATCTATCACTATGGAACAGTAGTTAAGCCAGCTAATGGCCAAAAAAGAAGCAATTACAAAAAACAAAAACACACAAAAACAAACAAACAAAAAAACCCCTGTATTTTATTTCTGTAAGTTTCGGCGGCACAGCAGGGGACTTAAACAATTAATAAATCATCTACTCAACAGCCCATGAAAGCCCATGCAACATTCTTATCCCCCATAATGAAAATATTTCTGCAAAAAAGTAAAATACACAAAGGTAGCTGTTGTATTGATTCCAAATTCAAGAACATTTATTCTATATTATTCCTTCAAGGATAAGAAGACTGATATACAAAGTGATAGAGTTCAAATTAACGTAAAAAATCAGCAATCAATAAGCTCAATAAATTAAGCACCTACTATATGTCAGATAGTAACTGTTCTCAAGGATCTTACAGTCTATGGGGAGAACACAGATGTACGTAATTGCATAGAAAAAACAAAAGAGTCCAATATAAGTAACTTAATGATAGAGAAATCAAAAAAAGACTTCATGGAGAAGATAAGGAGGCGTACTATGAAGTAAAGGTGATAAGGAAATACATATCTTACATGAAAGATGACCAATGTCAAGGCAGAGTCATGTGTGAGAAACAGGGGAAAAAAAGTTTGACTAGACAACAAAGTACAGGAATAATCACTACCATAACCCAAAGATCACATATAAGTAGCAACTTTGCAGAAATTTAGTTAATAGTAATGAAACTAGATTAATTCTCCCCCATAAAAAGCAACTTTCATAAACTACACCTGCCTTCTACTTAGCTTCTTACTGATCTCCAAGACAACCTTGTCTACGGGAAGCACATTGCAACTTTAAAAACTACATAAGCAACTATAACTAAGACCTATAACTAACTGCGCATCAGATCACCCCACATACTTCCACACCCCTTAATTTTCCATCTTTTGCAAGGGATGGGGGAAGGTACAGCTACAGAATTACTAATGGTTCTGCTGCTAGGAAATAGTATCATAGGAAAAATACATCAGAGTCCTGCCAAGAGATACATTTAAAGTCAAATTACGTTCTCTCAACACCATTACAAAATCTTCTGTTCAATCCTAACTAACTTTGTTTGACTATACATAGCTATAATCGATCTTGGTTTTTCCCCCCCTTTAGAAAGGGAAAATGGGAGGCAGAGAACTGGAAGCTGAAAATAAAATAAAATTAGAATTTTATAAAAATAAAGCATATACCAAGTCAAAAATAATTTCATAAACAAGCATCTACTATGTGCCTAGCAGAGACATATATGCTGGATACTGCCCTCAAGAAGCTCATTTTCTACCAGAGGATATAATCACGTACACATATAAGAATAGAGAGAGTAAATACAAGGTAATTTCTGGATTAGAGAGTAAGGAAAGACTTCATCATGTAAAGGAAGGCAATAGACCTGAGCATTGAAAGAAATGAGGAATTTTAAAAGGCAGAGTACATTCCAAGTACCGTGAGCATAAAAGCACTGAGATAGAAAATTAACTGTCCTGTGTGAAGAAAGCATTTGTGAAAGGGAACAATATACATCAAAGTTGATAAGATCATCACAGTCATTACTGTAAAGATCCTTAATTGCCCAACAGCTTATTTTTTTTTAATTCAGGAAGTAATACAGAGTCATGAGAATTTAGCAGAGAAGCAACTAAGTCAAGTCTCTCCTATTAAAAAAAAATCATAATAGCAGCTGTGTGGAGGCTGGAATGGACAGACTTGAGCTAGAAAGAACCACTTAAAGGATTTTGCAGCAAGTCAAGTGAAAGTTAATGAACTGAACTATGGTGTTGGACAGATTCTTAGAAAGAAAGAGACTGATTCAAGAGAATAGACAACACCTGGTAAATTATTTGATCCCTGAGGACAGGGTAATAGAGGGATGGAAAATAGAGTTCAGGGAGAATGGGGAGCCAAGGATAAATCTGAGGCTGCAAACCAGGAAAAACAGTGGTGCCTTCAACAAAAGCAGGAAAGTTTAGAAGAATTGTGAGTTTCAAGAGAAAGATAATGACTTTTGCTTTGGACACACTGACTTTAAGATGCCTACAAGACACATAGCTTGAAATGTCCACTAGGCAATTGGTAAAGAAGAACAGGAGCTCAAAAGAGACTAAGGTTGGATACATAGAAATAAGAAATGGCCATGTTTCAATAAACATTAGCAGGGAGCACAGCTCTCTGGCTCCTTGGACCAGGGCAGGGCTTAAAAGGAGGAAGATTTCAACCTATAACTATAGGGCTCAGTCAGCTATATCCTTAAGGTGAGAAAAGGTCAACTACCCAGAATCTTCTGGCTACATTTTCTCCCTCTACCTTGACTCCTTCTCCTAAATGACTTTTATCTCAAACTAACATCTTTGTTCCTTTTCTGAAACAGAGGTCGACTTTCCTTGAAAGTACTTTTTTTTTTTTTTTTTTTTTTTTTTTTGCTTTTTTGGTGAGGAATTCAGGGTTAAGCGACTTGCTCAGGGTCATATAGCTACTATGTGTCAAGTGTCTGAGGCCACATTTGAACTCAGGCCCTCCTGACTCCAAGGCTGGAGTTCCATCCAATGTGCCACCTAGCCGACCCGAAAATACTCTTGATACTCGTTTGTTCCAGATTAGATCACTTGAAAATATCATAATCCCTTCATTCAGTCAATACAAGCTAAGATTGAATACTTTCACTTTCAGCTTTTTTGAAATATGTTCTACACTTAACATATGCAAAGACTGCAAATCCAAAGTATTCTTTTCTATTTTTTAAGCCAAAGTTAACATAAGCAAAAAAAAACCATAACTACTCCTAAAGTTCAAGTAAAACAAGTATTTTGTCATTAACTTCTTAATACATCCTGAAGCTGACACACTCTCATCAATATATTCGAAATTTTACCTTAATTTTAGCGATAGACACAAAATGTGCATTTTTAATGTACTCTTGATATAACTTTTTTTCCATTTGCAAAAAAAAAAGACATTTGGTTAGGAGCAAACACATCTTCAATGCAAAGAAGCTGCTACCTTTTTAGATTTGGGATAATTATTTCATTTATTCTTGTATTGATTGATAAAGTACTTGAAAATCACAGTAAAAGCTTTTACAGAAACATAGACTGTATAAATTGACATTATGTTGGCATGATACCAAAAGGAAAAAATGAACTGTCAACTTGCTTAAAGAGACACAGTAATCCATTTTTTTAAAAGGTACTAACCAGAATCAAATTTCTTCTACCTTACTTTACCTTCCCACTGCATCATTTTCATTGGAAAAAGTAACCATATGTATCATGCATGTGGTGAACTTTCACATAAAAGGAATTTAATTTATATTTGCTTCCCACTTTAATATATTATTCACCTTAAAATAATGGATTCAATGAAATGAGATGAATAAACAATTCACTGGGAGCAAATTAAAATTAGCACTTGGTGTTATTTTTTTTTTAAGATAATCACACAAACTTTATTCTACCTAATATAATTATGAAAAAAAAATTACGCGCAGAATAGACAATTTATCAGCATAATGAGAATAATATATTGCATGGTCAGAATTTGATATAATGAAAATATTTTGATAATAAGTAACTGCTTTTTCAACTTACTTCTGTGCTCCCTGAGACAACAGCTTTGTCCACGTTCATTAATGCCTGTTCTTCAGCCTGGCATACTCCCAGAGACCATTCTGCACAACGGTGATGAGCCCAAAAGTGACCTGAAATATTATAAATGAATAAAATTCTGCAATTTTATAAGTATTTCTCTTCAAAATTTAACAAATGAAAAAGTTAAAAACTCCATACCCCACTAATAACTCATTAATTTGGTTTCAAGCACTCAAACAACAAATTAGTATTCTACTTGAGTAAATCAGCAAGCTAAAGGGTATTTCACACTTTAAACAGAAAAACTTATTTGATTTCCCTTGAGATACACCCACACACACTCACACACATTTATTTGTTAATTCTTTCACTTGTTCATTTCCCCAGCACATACTGAGAACAAAGCCTAAACTAACTTCTTGCAGATGGGTCATGGACAGGAAGGCAGATTAGCACACTACAATAAAGCAATGCCCTCTAGAAGTAAGGTGTGTAGTGCTATGGGCTCTTACGTAAAATAGTCCCAAATCGCTATATAGTATTATCAGCTATTGCAGTAATTTGTCTTCTGCTGCTGTAGCCTCTTACTCACCAATATTGCTCTCTAGCATCACCTCACCTAATCAACATTTAATTTTATGCTTCTAATCTGCTATAGACTGGGAATAGTAAAAATAGTAAAGTTTGCTAAAGTTCGATCAAAAGTAAAAGTCAAAAGGCTGCAGAGGTATGAAAGACAAACTTAAGGTACATGTTTTACTGCATAAAATTTGTTACATTTACTTCGGCTTCATAGAGAACTTAATTTCCCTGTAAAATTTTTAGTTGGATTTTAGCTGATAGCCAAGGTTACAAATTGAGCTCTACATAATTCATGAGTTTCATGTGAAAATTCACACATAGTGTGAATTTGAATAAAATACAAACTTTAATATTAACTTATGGTAATCTCACACTGGCTCAAAATTAAATTCAAGTTTCACATGCCATTGTATGTGCAAGCACATTATCGAGCTGTTTATTTGCTAACTTTTATAAAACACCATAAAAAAAGAGATAAAACAATTTAAAATTTTTCCCCAAATTACTGGCTTTATCAGGTCCTGATCTTTACATAAATAATGCGAAAACTCACTGTTACAGTTGAAGCATACAAGAGTCATTTAAGAACTAAAAAGAAGATCATAACTTAAAATATTTCAGTTAAGTAACTTTCAACTTCATTTAACTGGTAAACATTAATGAATTAGTTTTCCAAGTTTTAGATTAAATAGGAAATGGAGAATGAAAAACACAATTCTTGCCCATAAGCTATACTGAGAAAAAAAATGCACCAAGTGAACTTAAGCTTTTTTTATGGGCTAACTCAGGAGTAATATTAAAACTATATCACTGCTGTCTGGGAAAACAATGTGGCACGTACTATAAAAATCAAGATCAATGTCAAATAAACTATAAAACATACAACTTTTAGATCTTAAGAAACAAATTAAATAAACTGAATACGACTTACTGAATTAAGTATGGTTAAAGATGTATTACTTTGTACATAGCCATAAGTGTTTCTTGATATTCACTTGGAATTCATTCACTAATGTAAAAAAGTGCTCATACTTTCTATGATACTACAAGATTATTTCTGCACCAAAATGTAACATGTATGATATGGTAAATCAAAACGTTCCTACCCGTAGACTCAAATAAGGCTTGGAAATCGATGTCATCTGGAAGGCCAACCAGACTGAGTTCGTCCCACAATTTACCAGTCTGATCATCTGAAGCAGTTTGGGTGCTTACACTTACATATGATGTTATGCTCTGTCGAGGAGACCGTTCTCTTTGAAAGTAAAGGGAAATATAAGGTGATAATGGTAGTAATAATATTAACTAGCATGCACTGACATAGCGCCTACTATGATATGCAGGATACTGTCCTAATACCTTCACAAATACTTTTACAAATATCATCTCATTTGATCCTCACAGCAACTCTATGAGGAAGGTATTATGAGCCACTACTTACAGCTAAGGAAACTGAAACATTAAAAAGTAAAAGTGACTTGTCCACAGACACACATCTATTAAGAGTCTGAGACAGTAACTGACCTCTAAGCTTACTGAATCCAGGACCAGTGTTCTATGCCATGTAACACATACATGGCTTTATAAAATGTTTTACCATACACGTAGATTTGTTCCTTAATATGGTACCCCAAAAATAAGATGTAAAATAACTTTTATGAGATCCTATAACAAATATCTCCAAAAATCTTGGAGACTCAATATATTCCTTCTTCAAAACTTAAATTATTTCTTATTAATAGTGAATACGTCACGTAGTCATACATACTCACAAAACATCACAATCAGAAAAAAAAAATTTAAGTTGAGTGATGACAATCACCAAAACAAAAACTGCAAATGCATTTATTTAGTAGAATTATTACTGATCTGGAAGGCAGAAGAATCCAAGAACAATAAAACTAAAGAGACTGAAAGGTATTAAGTATTAGGCTTAGAAGAAGGGAACTCTAGCTTTCTTAGGTTTTCCTCCTAAAAGCTAAACAAACTGTAATGGTACTAACTCTTTTTGAAGAAATGAGGCATGGAAACAAAAAAAGGCAATGCTGAACAAAGTACAGAGTAATGTTAGCATGTTTCAACCACAAAAATTCACATATTTCATGAAAATATTTTTATTCATTGGAATGCTGAAATTTTCATCAGTATTTAATATTATATCTTGGAAATTATGTTATCCTGGGAACGACATGGCATCCCTTTTAACATGATAATAAATCCTCTACCCTAAATATGGATAAGAGAGTCACTATCAAAGCAAGACATTAATTCACATTAACACCAAGTCAAATACCTCGTTAAAAAACCAAGCCAAAAAGGTTGAAAAATCCAAGGTACAAATATTAAAAATTCCAACTTATAAAAACATTTTTATACTTTACTACACCTTATTAAATTTTTTAAGCTTCTGCTAATGTCTATGACGTGTAAAAAAATTTTTTTTAGAATAGTGTGTTCTTTCCTTTACCAATCATTTCACTGCTTTGTTAGAAATCAAAATTAATACTGGATCTGGGGAAAAATATCCATTGCTCATTGGAAGGCCCAGTGAATATGCTAAAAATGACAACTCAACTAAATTAAATTACTTATTCACAACTATACCGAACTACCAAATAACAAAACTCATCTAGAAGAACAAAAGTTCAATAATATAAAGGGGATTAATGAAAAAAAATGTGAAAGAAGGTGGTCTAGCAATATGATATCTCAAATTATATTATGAAACGATAATCATCAAAAACTATCTGGAACTGGCTAAGAAATAGAGTGGTGAAACAGGTGAATGGAGTAGGTACATAAGACACAGTAGTAAAAGACTACCATGATCTAGTGTTTGATAAACCCGAAGTCCTCAGCTTTGGGGACAAGAACTCACTTTTAAACAAAAACTGCTGGAAGAAAAAATAGCAGGGCAGAAACTAGGTATAGACCAACATCTTACACCATATATCAAGATAAGGAGAAAATATGTACAGAACTATACTCAAAAGGCATAGGAAGGGAAGGGAGAAAGAGAAAAGGAGAAGAGAGGAGAGAAAAAAAAAGAGGGAGAGGGAGAAAGTCGTGTTGCCCTTAGGTGGCACAGTGGATAGAGCACCAGGCCTGGAGTTAGAAAGCCTGCTCTTCCTGAGTTCAAATGTGACATGGGACACTTACTAGCTGTGGAACCCTGGGCTCACAATCCTATTTGCTTCATTCTATTTTGGCTAGAAACCCTGGGGATCTTCCCCTCCCAGATCCATTTTTTTAAAAGAAGAAAAAAAATAATGCTAAAAATTGTCCTTACATATAATCAGGAAAAATTAAATTATTTAAAAAATACTGGATTTGACTAAAAAAAATGACACTATTAACAAAAGTAAATCAGTTTTCAATCATTTACTTCTACAAGGACTCACAAAAATCAAATAGTAACTAATTCAAAAGTAAAGCAATTCAATCTTTGTATCTCAATTTTTATTTTCTCACTATTTCTCTTCCCATTCATTTCTCATAACAAAGAATTCTTAATCTTAAAAAAAGATGGGAAAGTGAACAATGAAACATACCATTAACCAAGAGTGATGATATATGGAATGTTTCATACTCTTTTCCTCATCTCTTCCTCAGGGAAAATGTTGCCAACTTTCTTATTTTCACACTGATTTTTTTCTTGTATAGACTCACCATAAAAATGTCAGGTGTACTACTTCATGGATGAGAAATAAACAGGAAAAATGATGAATTAATACCACAATAGCAACTTTAATAGACTTAGCTCTTTTCAGCAATATAATGATCTAATGATCAATGTAATAATCTAAGAAAATTCCAAAAGACTCATAATGGAAAATGCTATCCACAGAAAGAACTGAATAGAGTCTGAGTCTGAATGCAGATTGAATTTCTCTAAGGGGAGTGGGAGGGTTCTTTCTTGCAGTTATCCCTTTTGGTTCTAATTCTTTACAACATGACTAATGTGAAAACGTTTAATATGATTGTATGTGTATAGCGTATATCAGATTGCATGCCATCTTGGGGAGGGGGGAGGGGGGAGGGGAGAGGAGAAGGAAAAAAAGAAAATCTAAAACCTGGGGCAGCTAGGTGGTGCAGCGGATAGAGTACCAGCCCTGAAATCAGGAGGAAGTGAGTTCAAATCCCACCTCAGATACTTGACACCCTACTAGCTGTGTGACCCTGGGCAAGTCATTTAACCCCATTACCTAGCCCTCTTCCCCCAAAAAATGAAATTTAAAACTCAAAATCTCATAAAAGTGAATGACTAAAACTAAAAATAAATAAAATATTTTTTTAAAAAATAAAAATTTGATCAATAGCCACTCTTGTAAAAGCAGAAAGAATTCTGGATTTAGAATTTAAGGACCTAGATAAAAATCTAAGGCCTACCAGTTAGTGAGTGACCTTGAGCAAGGTTATAACCTGATCCAAACCTGACCAAGGACACAAGTTTCCTACTCTGAATCTCATCTGTTAATGAAGACTGGATGAAATAATCTCTGAAGTCTCATTCCAGGAGTACATCCTATAAAATTTTACTTCTATGACCTCTATTTACCTGAATAAAGATATAGGAAGTCTAATGAGTTCTTAGATAAAAAGTATCTTTTATTAAAATCACCTAGCACAGAGTCTGGCACCAAGAAGATGCTTAATATTTGTTGATTAATTAAAATGAGGCTTAGTAATGCCTCTGCACTCCAGCCCAAGAGCCTTTCTGATACACACCAGTGGCTTTTAACCTAGATGCTAAATATCTCTAGAATGAAGGAGAGACATCCTTTGTCATTAGACGAATTAGTATTTATAAATAAACTACCCCCATCTAACATAAACTAAATAATTTGTTTTACCTATAAATACATCTCTATTGAAAATGTGGATATATAGCTGCTGTCAATAATAAAATGCTCATTTAAATGAGGCTGGGCAATGAAGAAATGAAACTTTATTTCTATAGGATGAGAAAAAAAAGGAATGGATGTAACTTACTTTTACAAAGCTTTCTGATATGAAAAAAAACACAAAAACCACCTACTAATTTTATAGATAGTATTGCAAATAAAAAGATAATAAAGTCTTTAAGGACTACAGCCTTCACACTAATACAATGACAATTTGAACAATCTCTACAGACTTCAAGCTAATACAGTAATAGAATATTCAAACTGGAAAGGTATGGGAAACATCTAGTACTATCAACTTTATTTTAGAATAAAGAAACTGGAATTTTGAAAGATTACAACCTAACCAAAGGCAGTAAGCAAGTATGTATGGGGGGAACGGACACAATTGTGCCCCAAGTTACCTGTCATGTTCTCTAATGTTCTTTTATAAGGAATCCCTACTTCCTTATGGGACACTCTGAAATTGTTTAAAAGGTCTTTGTTATTGTTTCATTTAATGCTTCCCTTCTTCAATTAACTAGCAGCAGTCTAAAGCTAGGAACCAGTCAGAAAATGACAACACAATAATGCTTTAGTATTTATACTTGGATGTTACCCAGCAAGGCATTTGGTGGTGATTAGATCATCATCCTCCAAGGAAAGAGGTGGTTAGTTGTTCTAGGATAAATTAATTTTGAGCTGTTTCATAGGTTATAGACCATTATTGCTCAGGTAATTCAATGGAATCTACATAAGCAAAGTAAGATAATTTTGTTGTGAAGCATAATTTTGTTGTAAAAGAAAAAACAAACACAGAATAAAATCCAATTCGTGTACTTTGTACAGAGTGAATATAAACACCTGCACTTTGAAATCTTTTAAAAAAAAAAGTTTCTCATAAGCAAATGAACCTCCACTTTAAAACTCCCATTAACATTTTAATAAAAGTATCTATAGCAAATATATAAAGTAAAAATATTCACAGCACTGAATTATGATAGAATCAACAAAATAGCTCATCAAGCATTGAAATCATCAAGCACAATTCTTCTCTGGCTACTGAGTAATAATACACTATTCCAAATTACAAGTGTAACAAAAAAATGGGGGGGGGGGGAGAACAAGCTTACGACTGATTTCCTTACTACTTACAATTTCAGTTTGACTATTCTCTACACATTCAGTTAATTTAAAACCCTTTCCCTTTCAGTTTAGGTTATAACCATATGCTATTTGGCTATGTTTGTGCTCAGACTGGTTTGTCTAGCAAACAAGCACTAAAAGAGATTTAAAAAAACAAAACAAAAAAAAACACCTTTTCTCAAAAAAGTTAAAATGCTGAAACAAGAAGAAATACATGTAATATACAACATCTGTGTTTTTGTGTATGTGCACACAGAGACACACACATACACAAAAAAAACAAGCAGTGGGAAACATCACCAAAATTTACCAAAAAAAGTAACTTACTTTCTCTGTCCTCTTTGTTTACGTGGCACTGAGTTCTGTATTTTTTCAGTGGTTCCATCGCTGTTGTCACTGATATCCTTCTTGTGCAGAGGTTGCTTTTTCCAGGGTATGATGAATTCCGGTGTTGGACTAAACTGTTTTAATTCTCCTTGTCCTAAAGAGCTTCTCTCACCACAGTAACAAAAAGCACATAGTTGTTCACTGATAGACAAAACGGACAGGAGTTGGGGTGAGGGTGATGGGTTGGAAGCAAAAGGGAGCAGGGAGAGAGAAAAGTAGTGGTTTTACATCAGTATTTTAAATGAATGGCAGACTAGATGAATTTGTTTTCAAGAACCCCATGAGAACTTAAGAGTGTATAAGAGTTTATATATAATCTTAGACAAGGGCCACATAGGCCATCCGCTGAATAAATTAAATAAATAATTCAGTTCACAAAAAAACTTCTGAAACTGTAGTCTTCTGTTCCTGAAAATCTTTTAAGTAGCTCTCTAGTACCTGTTTCCATGAGTTGAGTTCCACTGGGGAAGTTACTTACTCCTGAAAGTAATACTTCCAAGTGTTGTGGTGTTTTCCCTGAGAAATAGTACGGTGAAGTATAAATAACTGCTCAAAAATCTGCAATGGGTGCTCACAAATCTAATCACCTCTTTCCTACTTAAGTTACTTTCAGCAAGTTAAATAATCTCCCTTACACTCAATTCCTCTGTAATGAAGAGGACTCAACAATACAAATCCCCAAATCTTCTCTAAATCTATAGGAGCAGTAACCCTCCCTTCTCTACCTCAGCTATTGTCCCTATTCCTGTCCTCTATTGGTATTTTCCTCCACTGTCCGTCTATCCCTAGTCACTTTCCTGTGCACTATGACATCCAAAAACAAAAACAAACAAAAAAGTTTACATGACCAAATTAACTTCCACTTCAAAATATCAACATTTTAATAACAGCATCCATAACACACATAGTATAAAAATATACACTGCATTATATTTTGATACAATCAATAAGATCTTTCAATAGTTTGTCAAATGTTAAAATTGTGAAGCACAAAGTACTCACTAGTACTTTTTCTGTCTCACAATAAAACTCCAGTGCAAAGTCCATTTGATGTATTAATTGAAATGTAACCTAACTCAATTTTAAAACATCTAGAGAACAGTTTTGATCCCTTTCTGGAATAATGTTTCTACCATGCTAAGTACAGGGCATCATAACAGGTCCAACCAGTCTCTATAAAGTTAATGCTTAACTGCCCCATGCTAATAAAAAAGTAAATTAAATTCTATAATATTAAAGGTTTTATGGGAAATTTCAACAAAATTATAAATAAAGCTAGAGAATCACCCTGAATGTATGTGAATCTTCTTCTCTTCTATATATCTTATAATCGTTCAATAACCACCATTTTTTCCCTCATTTACTGAAGTCTCTGATGAAAAGGGAGGTAGTCCTCATGCTCAAAGTCAACCCTTAATTATACATCATCTTATCACCAGAATGCTATCCAGTTGGTTATCTCTATCCTTAACTTATCTTTAACCTTTCCCAATCCACCTGTTTCTTCCCAGCAGACTATTATTATGCTTCAGCGGAGTGGGGGCAATAAGGGACTCCCCAAGAGGACTCCCATTGTAGACACTCCAATACCCTCAAGCTATCATTCTCTCTTTCCTTCCTTACTCAGGTCAATTACTAGAAAACACTATCTCTACTGTCTATACCTTTCTCACTCCTCAATCTTTTGCAGTATGGCTAACCTAATCACTCAGCTACAACTGCTCTTTCCAAAGTTATAAATGATTTCTTAATTGCCAAATCTGATTATCTTTTCTCAATATTCCTATTCCATGACTTTTCCATAGCCTTTGACACAGACTGTTCTTATTTCCTGGATATACTGCCTTCCCTCTAGATTTTATGACACTGTTCTCTTTTGGTTCTCCTCCTTCTCCCCCCCTCACTCAACTCACTCTTCCTTATTGTCCTTCGCAATATTGCAAGGCACCTAGGTGGCCTAGAGAATGAAGTGCTGAACCTAGAGATAGGAAGGAAATGAGCACAAAACCAGCTTCAGACAATATAGGCATGTAAGTCACTTAACTTTTATCTGCCTTAGCTATAAAAAGGTAATAATAGCATATATCTCACAAGAATGTTGTAAAGACCAAATGAGATAATATTTGTAAAGTGCTTAGCACAATTCCTGGCACATGGTAAGAGAGCTTTAAAAATGCTTATTCTCTTCCCACTTAACCTCTGTTTCCCTCAGTTTCTTCATTTGTAAAATGTAAATTATAATAGCATCCCCCTCTCCTGGGGTTGTCACACATATCATGAGTTCTATTTCAGGTGTTTCGTAAACCTTAAAGTACTACATAAACACTATTACCATCTATATCATGACCTTTAACTATGAGTAGCTCTATTCTATCAATTGCCTATTATATCTAGGGGCAAATATAAATTCTTCTGCTTTGCATTGAAAACCCTTCACATGAGGCAGCTAGGTGGTACAGCAGATAGGGCACTAGCCCTGGAGTCAGGAGGACCTGAAATCAAATCCGGCCTCTGACACTTGACACTTACTAGCTGTGTGATCCTGGTCAAGTCACTTAACCCCAACTGCCTCACCTCCCAAAAAAAAGGAGGGGGGGAGGGGAGAGAGAAAAACACCTTCACCTCCTGGCACCATTCTACCTTTCCTACCTTATGTTTTAATAATTCCTTTCATATACTCTCTGGTTCCTTCACTCTACCTTTCCTACTGCTATTCACACATGAAACTACATAACCATTGTTAAAGTTTTTATACTACCTTTTCGTCATGTAAAAAATGCACTCTCCTTGATCCTCTAACATTTAGCTATCCAAGTTTCCTTCAAGACTACACTAAAGAATGTTGTTCAAGGAAGACTCCATTTATTCCTATGCTTTCTAGTGTTTTTAATAGGAATGAGTGTCATATTTTGCCAAAGGCTTTTTCTGCATCTATTGACATCATCATGTGGTTTCTGTTAGTTTTGTGTTGGTATGATAAATTACACTGACAGTTTTCCTAATACTGAACCAGCCCTGCATTCCCAGTATAAATCCTACATGGTCATAGTGTATTATTCTTGTGATAAGTTGCTGTAATCTATTTGCTAATATTTCATTTAAAATTTTTGCATCTATATTCATTAGGGAAACTGGTCTATAATTTTCTTTCTCTGTTTTGACTCTTCCTAGTTTACATATCAGCACCATATTTGTATCATAAAAAGAATCTGGTAAGACTCCTTCACCTATTTTCCCAAAGAGTCTATATAGTATTGGAATTAATTGTTTTTTAAATGTTTGATAGAATTTGCTTGTAAATCCATCTGGCCCTGGAGGGAGATTTTTTCCTAGGAAATTCATTAATGGCTTGTTCAATTTCTTTATCTGAGATGGGGCTATTTAAGTATTTTATTTCCTCTTCTGTTAATCTGGGCAATTTATATTTTTGTAAATATTTATCCATTTCACTAAGATTGTCAAATTTATTGGTGTACAATTAGGCATAACAGTTTCTCATTACTGTTTTAATTTCCTCTTCTATGGTGGTGGATTCAACCTTTTCATTTTTGATGCTAGTAATTTGGTTTTCTTTTTTTTTTTAATTAAATTAACCAAAGGTTTATCTATTTTATTGGTTTTTTCATAAAACCAGCTCTTAGTTTTATTTATTATTTCAATAGTTTTCTTAATTTCAATTTTATTAATTTCTCCTTTGGTTTTCAGTATTTCTAATTTTGTGTTTAATTGAGGATATTTAACTTGTTCTTTTTCTAGTTTTTTAGTTGTATGCCCAACTCACTGATCTCCTCTTTTTCTATTTTATTCATGTAAGCATTTAGAGATATTTAGAACTTTTATTTTTAACATTTACAACTTTTGGTGTGTTGTCTCATTATTGTCATTCTCTTGAAGTTTTTATAATGAATGAACTTTTCCCCAAATGCAACTGTGTTTTCGATTCCTACTGCATTTATTCTCCCTCTAACCTGATTTTAGCTTCTACTCCAACAGAAACAGTAGAGCTGGTGGATTCCTCAGACACTGAGCGCTGGAGAGCTGGGGTTCGCTGCTTGTTGCTGTCCACTTCTGTTTCACCATCCTCTTCTGCAGACTGTTCTTTGACTTCTGTTAAACAGTAAACAAGACACAAAAAGATTCTACTTTCTGTAAACTGGTAAACTTGCTTTTCTAAGTTAATCTGTGGCCTGTAAGTAAAATAATTCTCCTAGCAAAGACTTAATCATGCATTACTTAGATGCGAAGTTCTAATTTGCATCTGAGATTAGAACATATTAACCAAATAAAAATGTTGGGGTTTTTTTTTTAAATTTAGAAATCCTGAAACATCACCTCTATCTATAGTACCAAATCGTAACACCACATAATAATCTACTCAAACAAAACGTTTTTATCCACTTAAGTCATATTAATCAATCGATAACCATGTATTTAGCTTTATGTGACAGGCACTGTTCTAAGCAATAATAACATTTTTAAAAGGCTAGAACAGTCCTGCTCCTTAAGAAGATTGCATTCTAATAGGAGAGGCAATATTTAAGTAACTAGGTATAGAAGGAATAGTAAATAGTAACTTTAAGTGGAAGGCGCTAACAGTTGGAATGGGAGACGTGGGAAGCAGGAAGGGATAATGGAGAAGGGAAGATTTTTATATGTCTTGAAAGAAGGTAGAGCAGCAGAATAGATGGTGAGGACAGCATTCCAGGTGCAAGGTACAGTAAAAAGTAGAACTGTCATGCGAGAAACACCAAGCAAGACTGTGTGGCCAGATTGTAAAAGTTTGTGTCGGGAGGAAAAAGGAGCAAGATTGGGAAAAATAAGAATGGGACAGGTTGCAGTAAGCATTCAATGCAAAATAAAGGACTTTTAAGTTTAATTCTAGAGGTAATAGGTACTCATCGAAATTTACTGGGTTAGGTGGGGTAGAAAGTGCATTAGCACTCCTAAACTGTAAGAAAAGAATGTTGGTAGCTGATTCAAGTAGAGAGGAGAAGGGATTTCAGGCATGAAGACTAAAGCTACCTCAGTAGTTAGGTGGTGAAAGAGCAGGTCTGGAATCATGGAGACATGAGTTCAAAACTGGCCTCAGATAGTATCTCAGAGACCCTGGGTAAGTTACTTAACCTTTGTGGGCTTCACTTTCTTCAACTGTAAAATGAGGATAAAAAAGCACCTACACCTCACAGGATTATTGTGACATTCAAATGAGTTTGTAAAATCCATAATATGCTTAGCGCAATATCCGGCACATACAAGGAGCTATATAAATGCTTATTCCCTTCCTCTTCTCCCCCATCCCTACCCACGAGAAGACTATTTCAACAGTCCAGAAAAGGAATGATGAAGGCCTGATCTAGGATGGTGGCTGTCTGAATAGAAAGACTAGGACAAATAGTAGTGATGTTATGGAGGTAAAAATGACAAGAGACAACAACAGAACGGATAGATACGTGGTTAAGTGTGAGGAGTCAAGGATGACACTACTGCTGCATGAATGGAAGTAATAGACAATTTTGTAAGCGAATTGAAATTTGTTTCCAAAACACGTTTCGTTTTAAAAATGCATAGTTTAAGATGCCTACCGGGCACCAACTTCAAGACTGCTTAAAGATCATTGCGGATGCATTACTATAATAGAGATGAGAAACTAGGGCTTAGATATAGATCTGGGAATCATATGTATCATGATAACCAAACTCACAGGAGTTAACCAGATCAAATCAAACAGTATGAAGAGAAAAGAGGGTTAGGGTTATAGGACAAAGGCTTGAGGAATAGACATAAAGAGACAGCAAAAGTGACTAAGAAGGGTCATTCAGTCAGACAGAACCAGGACAGAATTTCTTCAAACAAGAAGAGATAAAGTTCAGAATAACATAATCAATGGTGTCAAACACTATAGAGGTCAAGAAAGATGACAACTGAGAACATACCATTAGATTTAGCAATTAAGAGAATCACTGACAACTCTAGAAGGAAGCAGTTTCAGGAGAACTATGAAGATGGGAAAAGAAATGAGAGTTATGAATTATGAAAAAAGAATCAACAGCTTGGAAAAGGAAGCACAAAAATTGACTGAAGAAAACAACTCCTCAAAAAATCAAAGTAGCCAACTAGAAAATTAATCCAGTGAAGAAAATAATTCATATAAAAGTAGAATTGGGCAAGTGGAAACTAATGACTCAATGAGACATCAAGAATCAATCAAACAAAACCAAAAGAATGAAAAAGTGACTTGAAATATAGATACAGGAGAAATAATTTAAGAATTATTGAACTACCTGAAAGTCACGATTAAAAAAAAGGGTCTAGACAGCATATTTCAAGAAATTATCAAGGAAAATTGCCCTGATATCTCCTAGAACCAGAGGGTAGAATAGTCTGTGAAAGAATCTACCAATTACCTCTTGAAAGAGGTCTCAAAATGAAAATTCTATTGAATATTGTAGCCAAATCTCAGAATTATCGAGTCAAGGAGAAAATATTGCAAGCAGCCAGAAAGAAAACAATTCAAGTATCTAGGAGCCACAATCAAGAAGATGACACAGGACTTAGTAAATTCTACATTAAAGATCAGAGGTCTTGGAATATGATATTCCAGAAAGCAACGAAGCATGCATTACAACCAAGAATTAACTACCCAGCAAAACTGAGCATAATCTTTCAGGGGAAAAGATAAAATATTCAATGACATAGGGGACTTTCAAACTTCCCTAATGAAAAGACCAGAGCTGAAGGGAAAAGTCAATCTTCAAATACAAGACTCAAGAGAAGCATAAAAAGGAAGACAGGAAAGGAAAAACATGTTATTCAATAAGATTAAACTGTTTACAACCCTACACAGAAAGATGATACCTGCAATTCTTAACTCTGTTTCTACTGGAGCAGCTAGAAGGAATATACATAGACAGACTTCAATATAATGATATTTTTAAAATCTTTTGCTTGATCTATTTGGGAAAGCCATCAATGCCAAAAATGTCATGTGTCCTCCTCTGATTCATAATACTTAAACGAGTCCTTCTTCTTTAGCAAACATTAGTGGTAGAATTCCAAAAATTAATGAATGGTTCTGAGGCTGTCAGTCCAACAAGATCCCAAATCCCTATATACAGCCACACTGTTATATAATTTCTTTCTACTTCACTCATTTTATTAATTTTACTTTTTAAGCATAATCAATGAGCAAATATTAATTTTTTAAATCATAGACACAGTAGTTACTATTCCAAATGTTGATACAGCCTTCAATCAACTAAGCACCTACTATATATAACAAGTCTTGTACTAAGCACTGAGAATTCAAAGCCAAAAAATGTTATGTTGAGTTGGAAATGTCTACAGGATACTAAAGATGAATGTTGCAACAGGCAATTATTAGCATAGGACACACAATATAAACATGTGATGTAAAGGAAGGAAGATACCAGTAGTGTGAAAAGCAAAGGTTCTGTAAGAAAAGGGTAGGTCCTGAGTCAGGATTTCTATCTAGGAAATAGAAATAGAAATCTAAGGATTTCTATAAGGAGGGTTAAAGATGTAGTACATTTCCGGGAACAGATAATCAGTGAAAAGCCATGGAGATCAGAAATGGAGTAACTTGCATTATGGAATACAAAGAAGGTCAATTTGACTGTAAAAGAACAAGGAAAGGAAAGTTAAAATATAATGAAGTTGGCAAAGTAATTTGGGGCCAGGTTTTGAAAGACTTTAAAAGCTATACCTGAGTTTATATTTTATCCAAGAGGCAATAAGGAACCACTTAAGTTGATTGGTGGTATGGTCTGATCTGCACTTAAGGAAAAATCACTTTGGCAGATGAGAGGAAGATGGACTGAAGTGAAGAGTGACCTGAAACAGGGAGACCAATTAAGAGGCCATTGCAATAGATTAGGTGTGATCTAGAAGGAAGACCAGTAACCACAGAAAAGAGACTAGATACAAGTGATATTGTGAGAATAGAAATGATGTTAATTGATTAGGTATGTGGGTTGTGAATTAGCACTTAACACACAGTTTACAAACTGGGGCCACTGGTAAAACAACTGTTACTTTCAAAGAAATAGGGCAATTTGGAAGAGATGTGTGTTTGGCACAGCCTGTGGAGATGCATATGCCAACTGCTCCTGTATACATGATGACTCAGCTACTAAAACCAAGAAAAAAAAAGTTTTTGCCATCAAAGGGTTTAGCACAGTTAAACGGTTCAATATAAGATACTGATATGATTTCTTCAATGTAAGTGACACTAAGAAAGAGGTATTGTTACTGGATCTGCTTTGCCACTCTCCCGAAGAACTATGTAAAATCTTACTATCAGACTTGAAGTTGAAATGTTCCACAAGCACCATCTCCCCTATCAGAATGTCAGCTCTTTAAGGGATTGTCTTACTTTCCTATTTATATCTACAGTACTTTGCATATTGTAAATGTTTCATAAATTTTTAGAATTCATTCAATTATTAAGTGACTAGATAAAAGGGTTGACCTTGGCAAAGAGAAAGTTCACCTACTTTGAAATGAAGGAGTAAGGATTATGTGAAAGACCTTGGATGGGGAAAAAAGGAGGGGGGGAGTGGCAGTGGGGAGATCAGGTAAATGTCACCAATTTAGCCAATGACAGCATCAGCTGTGGAAGAAAAGGTTAGGGTAAAGGAGGTTTGAGAAGAGAGTAACATAAATCCTCAATTAGGGGTTGAAATAAAGCCAAGATGGTGGAGCATAAAGGCAGAAACTCACTCAACCACTACCAAATTCCCCTCTAACATTAAAATAAAGCCTCAAAATAAACTCTGGAGCTGGAAAACCAATAAAAGGATGGGGTGCAACAACTTCCAGTCCAAGGCAACATAGAAGGTAGGCAGGAAAAGTCTGTGGCACTAGGGTAAGAGAAGAATACAGTCCAGTGCACACTATACCCAGAAAAGCAGCAACAAGGCCCTACACCCTAGCACAAGCTAGCAGCAGGCCTTGGGGGCAATTGAATCTACTGTGGCCATTTCCAGATATCTCAACCCACAGAGAGTTAGGGGGTTGGACAACTGGTCAGAAGAAGACTGTAAGGAACTCTTTGCTAGCAGTGGGTGGGAGATTCAGTTACATTGCCC